ATTGTCTTTAAAGTTACTTAGGGAAAACTGAAGGTTCTATTCCTGACTTGTGGAGAAAGATTGGCTTCCCTCTTTAGCCACCAAAATCTACTCTATGAACTTCTTGGTGGTTTTGCCATCTTCAATTAATCTTGTTTTCTTAGATGGCCACTGGGCACCCAAACTGAATGCCACACACAGTGCTATGCCAATCGTCTCAAGAGAGAGCAGCGTGTGGGGACGAACTTAGGGTACTGACGTGTGTGATGTTCAGTTTTGTGTCAACATGGGTGAACCAGGGTCTCCCTTGACATCCTGAGATGATCTCACAAAGTGTGGTCAATTCCGTGTTGGGACCACCTGTGAAACAGCCCAGCAGTCGTGGGAAGAATCGAGTACCACCTCTGTACTCTAGTCACAGTCTTGATATATTTGTACTTCCTGCAGCTACCTGAGTCAGGGGAAGCCTTTGATTTACATCAAAACTATCCTCTGACATAATCACCCTTGGTTGAAAAGTGGTGTTTTAAGTGGGTGGTAGTGAATTTGTCACAAAATAATCACTTCCATTTGCAGCAGGTCTGACAGTTTTGTGGAAATGTCTGGAATCTCAGGAGTGCTTCTTTTGAATCATGAGAAGAGACTAACAAGTGCTTACAAATTTCCTTGTAGAAAGTTTACTTTAAAACTACTTAAAGCAAAATAAGAAACACTACCGCTTGCAATATCAAGGGTGATTATGTCAGAAGATATTTTGATTATGACACATATTTTTGGGAGCCCCAATCAATCCATGTGGAGCTTGGGGGCGTCGTGATTGCTTATTGGGCTTCTATTCAAAAAGTCATCAGTTCAAAACCACCAGTCACTCCGCGAGTGAAAGTTGGGGATTTCTACTCCTGTAAAGAATAACCCCCAGAAACCCCCAGGGGCAGTTCTGCCCTGTCCTATTGGGTCCCTCTGAGTGGGCAAGGACTCCACGGCCATGAGTGAGTAATTCAGTCCATCACACTGGAGGTGTATTAGTGATCTTGGACTCTACTCACTAGATGCTGGCAGCACCCACTGCCTCTCAGCTGTGGGGTTCCAAGTGTGTAAATCTGTACAGGCGCCAACAGCCTCATCATTTTCTCCCATGGAGTGGCTGGAGGTTTGGAACTGCCGACCTTGTGGTTAGCCATCCAGCTAGTAACCTACTAGGTTATCGGGGCTCCTTATTTTGCCCATAGAATCCTTCTTAAGGCTCGCATTTTTTAAGAGTACTTATGGCTTGGATTTTTTTTTCTTTAGTTCTTGCAGCATGAGAAGTGGTGAATGCTTTCTTTTGTTTTTCTAGCTCCGGGTCTTTGCCCATTTCATGAAAATACCTTGCCTTCGGAACAGCCTTTACAGTATTTTGTTTAGTTCTTGTACATTATCCTTGTTGTTTCTTAGTTGCTTTAACTTCTCTGTGTTCAAGAGAAAGTTGCAAATATTCTTCTGACATGGATTTTGTTTACATGTTATATATACATTTAAAAATATTTAACTTGGTTATCTCAGAACATGAGCCCTGAGCACAGTGAAAATGTCCTTTGCAAAACTAGTCTCATTCCCAAGAACCCCTCACCTGTGCAGTCTACTAAAATGCATGCTATACTGAAGTCTCCATAACTCACTGAAGCTGGGGAAGGAGCAGGAAGAAAGATACGCATGACATTTGCTAAAGAGATTAGCCTGGCTGTTTGAGAATATATTCTGTCAGTCAGAGTCAGCGAACATCTGGAGCTATACAGTATATGGACTTGGCAATGGTAGAAGCAGTGAAGTGTTCCACTATCTGACCTTGGTCTGATTTTACAAGAGTATTGCCCAGTTTTCCCTTACATGCTAAAATATGGCAGAGGATTCAACTTTCCAACTGATAATTATCTGAAGCAAGACAACTTTGCTAGGTTTCCTGCACCGAGGATCTGTTATTCCCATGCCTTTCTATCCCATATAGAAAAGACTCATGCAAAGAGGCCCAGCCTGCCCCACAGTCTCCTGGAACTATGGCTTGGGAGTGCTCCTGAACAATCTCATGGCTGGCAGCTCCTCTCTCAGAATAAGAAGGAGAGATCTTTGCTTGCCCTATTAGCAACAGAAAATCGCCCTTTCTTCCAGTTTTGTTTTTTTTTCATTCAGATGACGAAAATACGCATATATAACATATTTGGAAACTCTACTGGCAGACTTGGCAGGCATTTCATATTTACTTGGACTTAACACGAATTGGATTTGGTTCTCTGATTTCCCGCCTCCATCTCTCGGAACACGTTATTTACGATCCGAGCGAGTCTGCTAGTGGATCAGACAGGCACACGGCACGTCTATTGTGAGTGTGTTTGTTCGGTAAGATTTATGCTAGCCCCAAATTGTTTGATATTGACTTTCATTGTTGAAAATTTACTCTATTCGTTCTTGGTTTGGACCAAGCGTTTGTAGTGTGTTAGGGATTCCTGGCGTGGAACGTTTTATCTCTGTGACACTTCATGCAAAGGAAATTAAAAAACATAGAGTGAAAGCAGTTTCCTAATATGTTTCCAATCATCTGTGTCCTTCAGTGATTTGATTTGTAGGAACCAGAGAGCATAGTGTTACTGAGCTCTTTCTGTTTTGATCATTCACAATTCTTTGGGCATTTAGATCATGGTTCCAAGTTTATGAAAACTTCTATTGAAATTTTCCTAAGCCCTCTAGGGTTCCGTTTGTGGGGATTAAAGGGTTTACTTTTACTTTTTACTTTAACCACGGAAAAACCCACTGCCACTGGGTCCATTCGGACCCACGGTGACCCTAACGCACAGCGTTGAACTGCCCCTTTTGCGTTTCTGAACTTCAAAGCTGCAGGGTTTTCTTTCTCCCATGGAGCCTCTGGTAGGTTCAAACCACTAGCCTTGCGGTGAGCAGCTCAGACCACTGTACCACCGGAGGCATCGGAAATAATCCAGGGAGCAAGGTCCTACCCTCGCTGTATCTTAGACGAGAACAATGTTGTGAACCGGTGTTGATTGGCTTTCCAGAAGTCAACCATGGAGATAAAGACTCAGGCCCTATTTACTTTTTGCATCACCTTATGTATGTATTATTGCTTCCATACTGAGGTAGTTAGTTTATTGTGCCAACCTGGCGATAAACACATGTGGGGTTAATTGAAGGGCGGAGAGATAAATGGCTCAGTGAGCCTCGCCTTTCTAGTTCTCGGGTCTCTTGCTTTCTGATGGTCGCATCAGAGTGCAGCTGCCTTAGCTAGTTCTCTGCTTCAGCTGCCAAGGCTCACTTCCTGCAAGACATCCCTGAGGAGAAGCTACATGGACATACCCCGATGCAGCCCTGGGTGCTGGAGCACCCATGGGGAGACCCCTCCCAGTGCTGAGATGCTTACACGTTCACTGACTCGGCTTTCCTCCTGCAGTCGGCATCATTGCGTCTGTTTTGTGAGATGGAGGAGGACTTTGTGGATTGGTGTTGGACATATGGGTTAATGTTGGACTTGTGGGTTTGGGCAGCACTGGGTTGGGATGTTTTCTTGATGTGCACTTAATCTTTATATAAAACTCTCTCTTATACATAAGTTTCTGTGGATTTGTTTTTCTAAAGTACCCAGCCTAACACACATACTCTTAGAGCCAAGACTCTAATTGGGAAATCCCTTTGCCAAGGATGCCAAAGGGTATAATATATAATGACTAGAGGCAAAATTAAGGAGCACTAGTGGTAGACGATTAAGCACTGTTAACCAAAAGTTGAAGGTTCAAATTCTCAAAACAAATTGAGTATGCAAAAATGATCTGCTCCTGTAAAGATTACAGTTTGGGAAACCCCGTGGGCTCACCTAGTGTGCCTTACAGAATTGTTTGCCGTGGGTCAGCACACTGAATCATCAACTAAAAATCCATGCAAACCCAGTGCTTCTGCATTGAGTGTGACTCATAATGTCTTTATGGGATATAGTAGAATAGCCAAATAGGGTTTCTGAGGAATCTTTATGGAGTAGGGTTTCTGGGGAAAATTATGGAAGCTGACAGCTACATTGTTCTCCTATTTAGATGACCACATGATCATCTCTCTGATGGTGGGTTCGAACCACCAACCTTTAAGTAGCAGCCAAGTTCTTTAACCATTCGTGCCACCCAAACTGGTAACAGTAGCAAAAGCGAACTGAAGTGCATTGCGCCCCAAAGTGCAGGCCACCAAATCAAGGTCTTTGGCTGTGAGGTTTGCATTGTACCTTTCTTTCTAGGTTGGCTTAAGCTAATAGGCTTGGTTTTTCTTTGTGTATCTTTGGCCTTTGATTCTTTTTTTTTCCTTTTTTCTTTTCTCCAATGAATTAGGATGGCTTCTGTTTATGCCAATGATTTCTATTTGACTATGAAGTAACCTATGTGTGATAATCGTATACTCAGAGTTGAAGACTGGTTTCGTCTAATTCACCGCTGACAGGTGAAATGAAAGTGAGGCCTGCAGCCACAGGTTTTCGAGTTTGGGGGCAAATCTTAGAAGAGTTTATCTGGTAAAGGCAGTAGTTTGTCAAGAGCCTTAGATGGGTGTACAATTTAGCAATTACTTCCTATATTTTCATTTTTTGCATTTATTTTTCACATATTTACGTTTCCGTCTCAGATCTTCAGAAAGGGTGAGTTCATTTGGTCGTTATGTAGGACTCTCTCTCCTAATGGTGTCTCTATCACTGATGCCCCTCATAATTCATTAGGCACAAGTGGTCAGCAGGTTATGCATTTTCCCCAGAGCCCTTCTTGATCTACAGCTTTCCATTGGAAAATATAGTTAGTGAGGCTAATCTTCTCAGAAGTGGGCAAAGACTTAGCGCCAGTGACTGCCAAGTGCATCTTTACAAAGCTTCGTTGTGTTTGGGGGAAAGTGGCCAAGGAGCATTGGGGCTTCTGTGATGGCTAGTCCTGGCTTAGAGAGCGTAACTGTTTTCTTTTGCTCCAAAGATTCATTCTTTGTCTTCTCTTGCTCCTGTGCTTTCTCTCTAGGATGCAGCTACGAAGGAAATACATATAACAGCTCCTTCAAGTGGCAGAGCCCTGCTGAACCCTGTGTTCTGCGCCAGTGTCAGGTAAATTCCAATTTGATTCTTCAGGAAAATAGAATCCATTGTCTTCCTCAGCAGTCCCCTTTAGACGACAAAAAGCCCAAACAAGGCAACAAGAAATGAACAGCAAACCCATGACAACAACCAAATCCCCCAACAATATCCTTGTATCTACTGAGTGCGACAGTCGCCATCAGGAGAGAAGTACTCTGACAGAAATTTTACAGGACGTGGTTCTAGAAAAGCACACAGTGGAGTGCTTCACCATTGCTCAAGTGCGCCTGTAAGATGCATCGGTCCTTGGGGGAAATTCATGTCTTCCTGTGAAGTCAACTTTCAGCAAAACACGAATTCCTGTTAGCAGAAAAGAAGTATTATTGGTAGAGGCTCTATGTTTCCCTTCTTTGATTTAGAAACGTTTTGAATGGGAGCCAATCTGTAAGCGGTATTAAATCTAAGCACTTGGTGTGCTTTAACCTCCATGATTTCAGTCTGCAAAGTTGAGAAGCAACAACTGAGCTCTCACGGAGTCTGCTCAGGCGAATTCCTAGGAATCTGATTGTTACAATGATAATAATGCACTCTGTGGCAAGAGAATACAATCTATGGCAGAATACATCAAGGGGTGGGGGCAGAGAAAGAGCCTAAACTTCAGAACTCCTTTTCTTATCTCCGTATAAGTACTCCATTAAAAAAATACTGTTCCTTTAATTTTGACACAATGAAAACATTCTTCTCTGTGTGGAGGATGCTGTGAAATCAATTTCCCTCAGTCCCATCAGAATATCCAAGGTAATGAGTTTGCATTGAAGGAGGCTGAAAGATGAATCAAATACTGGATATTTTAGTCAAATATGATCTAAAGCATATTGATATTTGGTTTATGGTGATCTGAGTTTTACATAGAGATGCTCTTATTAGTTGGAGTTGGCTTGTCACTCATCAAAACTTGAATTATTTATCCAGTTAAAATATTCAGTTTTACCTAAGTAATTAAAGAAAATAAGATGTAGGAAGAATAGATATAAATAATAGATTCATTGTATCCATAGATATTTTGTCTAATTTTTACTCAGGGATTTATAGATTCATCTAGACTTATGGAGCAAACATGAGAACAAACGAGTTTTAATAACATTGAGAGTTCATATTCGATAACTGATACCACCTGCCTCTTGACCAATGAGATGCCCACTTTTCATCAGGGGTGTTCTCAAAGGCATAGTGAGCACGATGGAAGACTATTAATGCTTCTCAGAAGAGATCTAGAAGTCCAGCGGTCCAGGGAGTCAGAAATACAGAACATGAGACTGGGACAGAGAAAGTGGGCGCCACCTGCTAAAAATGAACTTTGTCAACCCCACCCCCCACCCCCCACCAATTTTAAGCCATTTTACCTAAGCCTTGTTTAAGTTAGTATAAGCCAAACCAAACCAAAGCAAACTCACTGCCACGGTGCCAATTCATAGCGACCCTATAGAACAGGATAAGACGCCCCTGTGAGGTTCTGAGACTGTAACTGTTTATGGGAGGAGAAAGACTGCTCCCTCTTCCTCCCTAAATTAGTATAGACCATACTTTTTCATCTAGTAACCACACAAGCACATCTCTGTTAATTTACAGGAAAACAAAGCAAAGCAAAACAAAACCAAATAGATTCCTCAGCTCAGTTGACACCTTTGGCCTCCTGCTTACACGTTTCCTTCTTTAGGGACCGGGCCTCATCCAGGAGGGCAAAAGATAAAGGACTATTGACTGGTCCCTCTCAGGGACATTTCCATGTGAGACGCTCCTCTGCAGAACCACACAATTGCAACCACTTTCTCCAAGTTCCTTCCTTTTACAGGCACCACCTCAGTAACGGAGAGGATGGTATTGTGTAGTAGGTCAGCTCTGGGACCTGTCAAGCACCTACCTCTCCAAATCTCCCTTTGATTCGTAGGAAAATGGGAACCCGCTCCTTGTCTATCAGTTTCTCAGACTGTGGTGGCTTTCACAGATTACTATGATGCTGGAAATTATGCTCCCGGGATTTCCACTACCTAACAAGATCACCCATGGTGGACAGATGTCATTAGAGCTTCCAGACAAAGACAGAGGAGGCAATCTACATCGGAGAATTAGCCATTGGTGACCTTATGGATTTAAAACAGACTATTGACTCCCTTGCTTTGGACATGATATCGGGAGGGAACAATTGCTTGGAGAAACACATCATATTCGGTGCAGTAGAAACCTTATGACGATGAGGAGACCTTTGGGGAGATGGTCTGGCACAGTAACTATCACAGGGGACTCGAGTGTGCCAGTGACCACGAGGATGACACCGGACAGTGCAAGGGTTAGTTCTGTTGCATGTTGGATCAACATATGTCAGAGTCAACTCGACAACTCCCTCTGTAAATTGGGAAGAACATTATAAGAAGGTAGCTGTACGCAATAAGTGAGCGGGAGATCATTAAAAACACGCTGGTAAAGTGTCTGATACATGAGGGACGACTAGGTGCTATGTACCTAATGACTGATCTCCTGATTTGGTTTATTTCCAGGGGAGTTGAAGTCTCCCTTTATACTTAAAAGCCTCTTGCCAAATGAGTTTGAACCCTTTCCTAAAATGGGGAAGCGTGTATCCATATTCTCTCACGCATAGCTTCTTCCTGGAAGATCACAGGCTGGGGACTCTTGCTATGAACTCACCTGAATCCTCAGTGTGGATTGCAAGCCTCAAGGAAAATTGACTTGGGCCCTAGCTTGTGTATTGCTTTAGCATGGGTCTGTTTTGGATGTTGTACATGGCTGATATTTTTGGAGGTGTTTGGGTAGTGTGGGATACAGACCACAATAACCCCTCTGGTAGTGGAAGTTCAAGGTCTGACAGATGGGAAGACATTTAGGATCTAAACGCCTTGTTGGTTTGGGACCATGCGGGAAACACACTGAGGAAAGCTACTTAACCGACGAAACATTTACTTTTCTTTTTTCAGCCTGTGACATGCCCTCTCCTTGAAACAACTAAACAATCAAACAAAAGCACAAATCCATCCACACAATGGATAGAGACTACGGAGAAAACTGTTCAAAGTTCCAGTTGGAACTGAAATTTAATTATATATATATATTAAATATACATTCAAAAGATGAATTAGAGCCCTGAGATGACTCAGGATTGGAGGAAGGCTCATTAGCAGCAGATGGCATACCATGCTTGCTGCAAGCAGAGGGCTTGAAGAAGTTACCACTGAAGATTAAATAGTGTAGCGCTCAGTACAGAAAACAAAAATCCCCACAGCTGACCCAATAGACAACATCATGGTAAATGGAGAAAATATTGAAGTTGTCAAGGATTTTATTTTACTTGGCTTCACAATCAACCCTCATGGAAATAGCAATACAGAAATCACACAACTTAAAAAAAAATTATTATACTGGGCAAATTAGCTGCACAAGACTTTAAAAATAATGTTCAAGAGCAAAGATGTCCCTTTGAGGACTGAGGTGTTCCTGACGCATACCTTGGTATTTTCCATCACGTGGTGGTGTAGTGGTTACTGGCCGGGCTGCGATCTGCATGGCCATCCGTTAGAAACCCACAGCAACTCCTCAGGAGAAAGACTGGGCTTTCTACTCCTGTAAACAGTTAGAGCCTCAGAAACCCACAGGGAGTCTCCGGGAGCCCGTACTGACTTGATGGCAGTGAGTTGTTGGCTTTTTCCCTTTTCTTCACGTTCATGGGACAGCTGGACAATGAATAAGAAAGACCAAAGAAGACTTGATGCATTTGAATCATGGTGCTGTGGAAGCACCTTGAAAGCACTGGGAACTGCCAGCCGAACAAACATATCTGTCTTAGAGGCAGCACAGCCAGAAAACCCCTTTGTCCAGGTCATCAAGAGAGACCAGTCCCTAAAAAAGGGTAGATGCTTGATAAAATAGTGAATCAATGCAAAAGAGGAAGACTTTTGACTGGATGGATTGACACAGTGGCTACAACATAGGCTCAAACACAAGAACAATTGAACAATTGTGAGGACAGAGCAACCCCAGGTGGTGTTTAGTCTATTGTATGTAGTGTTGTTAAAAATTGGAGTAGAGCTGAAACCACCTAACAACAACAACAGCAGCAGCAGCAGCAGCAGCAACAACAACAACAAAGTCTTCATTTGGTGGTTGAGGAAACGGAGATCCAATTAACTGCAATGTTACTATGTACCAGGAGCTATGTGGTGGGTGCAGTATGGGTGTGTTATTGCTAAAAGAGCGCAAAAGACCTGGCTTCTCGATGCCAGTCTAGAGTGTTATGCTTTATATTTGGTGCCTCCTAATTAATAGCTGGAAGCGTAATAAGAAGGATGGGAATATAGTAAGTACTAAAAGAAGATTTAAAAGTTGTGGGTGAACAGCTAGACTGTCAGGTACTGATTTTAACAGCAAGAAAGTCTTACCTACTAGCACACGTGGTGAAGAGAGCTGATGGTGTCCGGCTATCAAAAGATATGGGGTCTTAAAGGCTTGAAGGTAAACAAATGGCCATCTAGCTCAGAAGCAACAAAGCCCACATGGAAGAAGCACACCAGCCTGTGTGATCATGAAGTGTCGAAGGGATCAGGTGTCAGGCATCAAAGAACAAAAAATCATATCATTGAGAATGAGGAGGAGTGCAGAGTAGACGCCCAAAGCTCATGTGTAGGCAACTGGACCTCCCCTTACAGAAGGATTGCAGGGAGGAGACAAGCCAGTCAGGGTGCAGTGTAGCAATGATGAAACATACAACTTTCCTCTAGTTCTTAAATGCCCCCCCCCCCACTTATCATGATCCCAATTCTACCTTACAAATCTGGCTAGACCAGAGGATGTACACTGGTATAGATAGGAACTAGAAACACAGGGAATCCAGGACAGATGATCCCTTCAGGACCAGTGCTGAGAGTGGGAGGGGGGAGGAAGGGTGGGGTGGAAAGGGGGAACGATTACAGGGATCTACATATAATCTCCTCCCTGGGGGATGTACAACAGAAAAGTAGGTGAAGGGAGACATCGGACAGTGTAAGACATGACAAAATAATAATAATTTATATATTATCAAAGGTTCATGAGGGAGGGGGTGGCAGGGAGGGAGGGGAAAAATGAGGAGCTGATACCGAGAGCTCAAGTAGAAAGCAAATGTTTTGAGAATGATGATGGCAACAAGTGAACAAATATGCTTGACACAATGGATGGATGGATGGATGGATGGATGGATGGATTGTGATAAGAGTTGTAGGAGCCTCCAATAAAATGATTTAAAAAAAAAAAAAAGAAGAAGAGGAAAAAGATAAGAGCCAGGCACGGGATTGCACCCTTGGTTCCCCAGTGGTATTCCGGGGGAGTGGGTGGCAGTCTTGCCTCGCTTGTATGCCACGTGCTTTTGGACACGGTCCCTCCCTCCGTTCTCACATTCTGTGTCAGGGGCGCCTCTCCCAAGCCTGGTTACCTTCCCAAAGCGGCCCCGGGGGCTGACTCTTCTCACGGGATTCTGTTTTCCAGGAAGGTGTCATCACGGAAGCGGAGGTGCGCTGCGTCGTTCATTGTAAGAACCCGTCCAAGCATCTGGGGACCTGCTGCCCCACGTGTCCAGGTAACATTCTCGGGCGAGAAACGTCTAGTCGTTTCCTTGGTTCAGGTTTCCACTGTTGAAATCGCTGTGAGTTCGCTCAAGAATACATGACCGTACCCTCTTCCTTCCCCCCAGCCCTTGTGTCCACGCTGTGTCTTGTACCTAAATGCACTCAGCGTGCTAGCTCCTGTGCGTAGAAGCGCGCTGTGCCCAGCCTCAATGCAAAGTGCTGGAGGTCTTGGCATGGGCAATCTCTAGGCTCCAGAGGCCTGCTTTCCACTCCGCCGGGCCACAGGTAATGCTTATTTTGGAAGGAAATGTCGTGGCTTTCCCTTGCTTCCAGAAATGTCCTGTTACTACTTCAGATCGCAATGCCTTGGCCAGAGCTTGTGCTGCTGATGAGGTGACCAGATGTTCTCTGAAAACCGAGAACTGTGTCCCTGCGTGAATTGAGCTTTGAGTTGTGCTGGTCTCGGTTTTCTGTGTGGAGCAACAAGCTGGACAAACAGCCCCTTTTCAGAGAGCCCACTCCCTCCCTGACAGCAAAGCCCTTTCCTTTGAGTGGCTGGAGAGCTTCCGCTTACATTTCTGGACAGGATGACAAAAGGCCATTGCCATCTTTTCGTGCCCTTAGGTACCAGCCTGGGCAATTTGAGGTGAGAGCTTCCTTCGGACCCCTTAAGCCATTGGCTGACAGCCTCAGACAGATGTTCTGTGCTTTGGGTGTTTACCCCGAGTGCTTCACTCACCGCCGGTGAGGGGACAGAAACTACTCTTTGCTTTCGAGGTGAATCTCTGTGAATCTCCCGGTGAGAAAGCTCAGCCACTACACAGTGGTGGGCTGCCACCTTCTCAGCCTCCCCTTGCACCCCTTGTTTCTTATGGAGTAGGTGCCAGACCAGTGACCCTTCTCTAAGTCCACTCAGGTTTACCACAACCACACGACCCCCCTAAAGGAACAGCTGTAACAAATGGAGCTCTTGCTGCCCTCTGCTCCTGAAGTTAATAGCAGTCTTCCATCCTGAGGACGTGACCCCATCTTTTAGGCTGTTCAACTCTAGGGACACAAGTCGCGGGCAGAGCTAACCTGCGTCAGCAATTGAAGCTGCCTTCTTGGGACACTTCCTTCCTGGCCTGTCCTCTTGTTAAGGTCCCATGAAGAGAAGGGCTGAGCTTCCCCATTGCACACGGTGGGGCGCACTCCTCACCATCATGGAGCAGCTGGCTGGGGCCTGTAGCTCACACCGGGAGGAAGAATGCACGGGCAGCATGCGTAAGCATCCGAGGTCCAAGCTGAGACTGGTGTCAAGGTCCTATTCTGTCTTCACCCATCAACACCCATCTGAAAAGTTCATTTGCCAGTGCCACACATGCAGCCCTTCTCCCAACACCAGGGCACCCTGGGCACACTGTGTCCCCAGTGTGAGTTTCTCTACCTCTCCTTAGTTCTCAAGGGCAGCCTTTGTGAAGCCAAGCGGAGGACTGAGATGGCGCCCATCCACAATGCAGTATCCTCTGTCTGGGGAGAGAGGCCTCCGCCAAGATGGCCTGGGGACAGGCTCAGGAAGCCTTGGGGCATTTTGCGTGGTGATTCCCCAGGACTGGCACCTGTCACTGATTGTGGAATGGCATTCCTCATAATGACAAACCTGGACTGTCTGTGGCCAGTTTCTTCCTTAAACAGATTTCAGGGCATTCTTGGTTGTTTGCTCCTTCCTTTCTCTGACTCTTTGCTCAAGGTTGTACCTGGAAGTCCCCGTAACAATTCCTCTCTTTCGAGGGATCTCTCGGGCAAACTGTATGCTGGATTCAGTTGTGCTGACAAATTTAGAAGAACGGAAGAGCCTCCGTGAAAGGGCTGTTTGAAGGGCGATGGCTCTGAAGGGCACTTCACGTTTAACTCAATAGCAGCCACTGGCGTGTCCTTTGAGATTGGTCTCTATATTCAGCTGTAAGAAGAGCAGGAGCAGCGGTCAGATCAGGGTGAACTGGGTGTTCCTGTTGTCAGGAACCTGCTGCTCTGAAGGCTGGGTGGCTGTCCGCATGAGCAGGTCTTGAACGTTGGCTCTCCAGGGCACGCAACAATCCTTTCTGAGAGCTTCCTCTGGCGCCTTTCCTGACAGCAGCGCTGCTCCTAGACCTGTCTGCTATGTGAAAAGTGCCTCCAGATGCCCTGGTACAGGGCTTTGTGAGAATGGCCCTGGCCTTGTCCTTATCTACCAGCTCTCACCTGGCCTCTGTGACCAGCGGTCTCTGGCTAGCTCATACTTCAGGTGCTTGTGTGGCAGAGCCATGAATTATCCTGTTGTCTCGAGTAACCCCTTTCCAAAGCAGTGCCACGGTGCCCAGTATGATGCACAGCAACTGTTAGGGCCCGTTTGTTTAACACACGTGGCAGGGTCACAGCCACTTTAAAGCTAGCAGGATCAGATTGAAACCCTGGTGAAACCCTGGGGGGGTGGGGCATCTGACCCTGCCTTTGCTCCATCGTGTGTCCACGTCTGGCCCTCTCCACAGTGCCACCTGGGCTGGGGGCAGGGGCTGGGGCGGAGAGGGTTTCAATCAAGGTAGATCATCAGCTCTGCCTGCTTTGGTGAGTGCCTTTATCTCTCTGAGGCACCATTTCCTCATCTCTGGAATCAGTGATCGGAACCACTGCTCTGAAGGATCACAGTGAAGACCGAGACTCACGGTACCAAGCACTGGAGAGAGGCAGGCAACTCCTGGGTACTCATCGAGAAGCAGCCCTCTCTGAAGACCAATTTAATTTGGCCTTCACCTTCTCCTGTCTGCTTGTATGTTAGCCTCTCTGACTGGTCTGGGATCTGACTTTCTGGGCCGTGGTCAAGAAGATCCTGATGCAGCTCTGTAGACATACTTCATGACTCACAAGTGGACTGCTCCCCCTTGCTCTGACCCCGCTTCCACCACCTTCGTTACACTGGCATCTTTGGGGTTGCTGAATCCATGTCAGTTGTCTGTACTTGATTTCTTATTATGACATAATCTTGTCCGTTGACTCAAAGAAGGTGTTGCACCCAAATGCCGGTGGAGGTGGGGGATGGGAGGCGGAGGAGCAGGGATAGAACATTTGTGCCTGCCTACCTGATGGAAGGCGGGGGTCTGAATTCTAAATCCTTCTTTGCCTTCTAGGTTGTGTGTTTGAGGGTGTGCAGTACCAAGAAGGGGAGGAGTTTCAGCCGGAAGGGAACAAATGCACCAGATGTTCGTGTGTTGTAAGTTCTGCCCTGGCAGTCACCCGGGTGTTTGCACTGGGTCAGCTGCTGTTGGGACTCCCAAAGACTACCCCCCTCCCGGCCACCTCTCTCTCTTCTCCCCTCCTGATGTGCACCAGGGGAGTGCTCGACACTCTGAGGCAGTGATGATGAGTACTCCTTTGTGGTGGGTCTGCCCTGGCACGGTAGGATGTTTAGCCACATCCTTGGCTTCTAGCCACTGGATGCCAGGTGCCAGCAGTAGACTCCCCTTCTGCAGCGTGGCAATCAGAAACGTTTCCAGACATCATCACATGTATCCTGGGGTCGAAAGGACCCCCAGATGGAGACCCCTGGTCTGAAGAACAAAGGAAGAGTCTGACCTTCCCCGACCTTGTCTTCCTCTTTGGGAAGAGCCTGAATTCATCTTTCCTTGGGGCAGAGCAACTTCTTGCTGAGGCCACTATTCAATCCTTCATACTGTCAAATGGGAAGCAGATGCGGCCAACAGGACAGCTTGCCTCCATGTTTTCCATAGGGGGCCAGAACTTGGTCCGAAGCTGGTCATTTACACTTGGAGGAAATGGACAGGAAGAAATGGTCTGCAAACGATGGAACTAGAACAGAGTAGAGATCACTGAGACAAAACACTGACCTGCCCTTCTAAGGGGTGCTGACTTTGAATCTGTAGTCTTAAGAAATGTCTTCGGAGGCCTAGGAATGAAAACAGAAGGCATTTACGTGTGTTATACACAAAGGATTAAAAAAAATCATTTTATTAGGGGCTCATACAACTCTTATCACAATCCATACACACATCAATTGTGTAAAGCGCATTTGTACATTCACTGCCCTCATCATTCTCAAAACATTTTCTCTCCACTTAAGCCCCCAGCATTAGGTCCTCATTTTCCCCCTCCCTCCCCGCTCCCCCCTCCCTCATGAGACCTTGATAGTTTATAAATTGTTATTTTGTCATATCTTGCCCTGTCCGATGTCTCCCTTCACCCACTTTTCTGTTGTACGTCCCCCAGGGAGGAGGTCACATATAGTTCTTTGTAATCGGTTCCCTCTTTCCTACCCACTCTCCCTCTACCCTCCCTGTTTCACCACTCACACCACTGGTCCTGTAGGGCTCATCCACCCTGGATTCCCTGTATTTTCACTTCCTATCTGTACCAGTGTACATCATCTGGTCTAGCCAGACTTGCAAGGTCTAATTCGAGTCATGGTAGTGGGAACGGGGATGAAACATTTAGGAAGTAGAGGAAAGTTGTATTTTTCATTGTTGTTACATCGCACTACTAATGCATTTTAAATCTCAATTTTCATTGGTACTGGTGGTGAATATGGTGTTAGGGAATCTCTTAGGGCATAGAGGGAATCTTAACCAACTGCTTTTTGAGTAGAGTTAGCACAACCATAATCAATTTAAGCTTTTAAAACTTTGTACTAAAGAACATATATTTCCCAAGTCATTTGTGTCTCAGTATGCATCAATATTTATATATAATTTCATATTAGATATAATTACTATCATCTATCTATCATCTATCTATCTATCATTATACAGACACACATTCACAAATATAGGAGCCCTGGTGGTGTGGTGGTGCTGTGAGATATATATTAGGTTGCTAACCACCCGGCTAGAAGTTCAAGCCTACCAGCAACTTTGAGGGAGAAAGAGGAGACTTTCTGTTTCCATGGAGATATGGGGACTCCAACATCCTAAGTTCACCAACCCAGAATCACATATGGATCATCAGGAATCATAGCATTTGTCTTTTCTCTTCGTGTATTTCTTAAACCTTTCCCCTTTTCATGCTCACACAACCTAAAAAGAAGTGAAAGGAGAGAGACACACATTGATCTTTAACTTATGTATAATATATAATATTTAATAATATGATAAACTCACTGCCATCGAGTTGATTCTGACTCATAGCAACCCTATAAAACGGTAGAACTTGCCCCATGAGTTTCAGAGTCTATAAGTCTTCATAGGAATAGAAAGCCTCATCTTTCTCTTGAGAAGCAACTGGTGGCTTGGAACTGCTGACCTTGAGGTTAGCAGCCCAACACATAACGACTATGCCACCAGGCCATCTGAATAATATGATAGTATATAAATTATAATATATACTTGTATATGTATGTATAATACGAAGTTATTTTATTAATCAAGAGGAGTATGAGTTTGCCCCTTCAGATTCAAAATCCATTTTTTTCTCTCATGCAAGTTATGGCTCAATAATATTCAAAATGAAACAATTTGCGGTTGAACGTTGCTCCTTTCTCAATTTTATTTCTTCCATCTTATAGTTTTAAAAGCTTTCTGATTTTTGTTTTCTATGTATTATTTTTGGAGGAGTCCATCGAAGCAAAACAAAGCACATGTCAGTAGGAAATTCTAGATCTGCATCTGAAAGACTTGTCTTCAGGCACGCCACAGTATGGACAGCCGGGCCTCCTTGGGGAGGGAATTTAGAAGGTGACAAGGAGGATGGGCAATCCCTACAGTTGTACCTGTGACAGTCACATAAAGTTCTGTGATGCTGGGACTGGAAATAAGCACAGACATTACATGCACAGCAGCCACAGGCTTGACAGTTCTCACGGCCTTCACATTTCACATCTTCTTAAGCACAATGTCCCCGCATTGAAGCTCACCTGCAGGTCCCGGGGCAGCTGTGTATACTTGGTGGCCATTGGAAGTCTCCCGTTTTCATTAGAGAAAGGAAACCCAAGCATGCCCAAACTTCCCTGCGAAGCAAGTTCTCTGCGGATCTAGAATGTGTGTCCTCTCTTCTATTTCTAATTTCTACCTTCTTTGTACTTTGCGTGCTGCCACTGTCAGATTGAGCAGCAGTGGCTAATGGATGGCCTGTGTTACTATATGCTCCTGATAGGGCTTCAGACTGGTTTGTTCTGGTTCTAGCTTCTGCTGAGAATTTGCATCTCTGCTCTAGACTGTAGATGCTAGTCGCAGAATCTGCCTTTCAACAAGACTGGGCTGGAGTGAACCGGTCCCCCCGATGGAGCACTTGCTTGGGTGGAGGGTCCTTGAGTGTAAACTTGGTTTTAAGTTTCCTTTCATATTGCTATCTTTTGATGTCATACATGGGAAAAGAAAGTACTGTCTTAGCAGTGTTTCTTGCTCACGAATGGTCCCTGTGGAGATGTTTGCCTTCTAATGGAGTGTTCCAAATGCAAGGCTGGCCCTGGAACCGAGGTGTAGACTTTGCCAATGTCGCCCTGATTGCAGGCCTGCAGGTTTGGGCACACAGAGGAGCATGTGGACGTGTGAGGTGCCATCTTGCTGAGTGACAGGGCAAAATTGGGAAGGGCTTTAGACGGGAGCCAAATGCTGCACCTAGGAGGTCCCAGGGAGGGACATGCAGAATGGCGGGCAGGAGGTTCCCCTTGCAAATGTAACAAGGGCTGTCTAAGAGTGGGCTTCAAAAAGTTCTTGGAAAAATTCCATTATCTTTTCGCTCCATGTTTCCATGAATGTTCTGAATACCCCTAATAAAATAACTTGCTTCTGTTTGATACAAAGGAAAACAATAAGATAGTATGTAGATATATAAACATAGTCTGTATAGGATCTTTAGTTGTATATACATTTATTTGAATGTACAGATTGTCCCAACTCAGGCAGGAGTCTCATTTCCACAACTCCATTTTAAGTCAGCTCTGACTTTTGTTTGTTTGTTTTCATTATTACTAACGTCTTTATAAAGGTGCTGTGGCTTATGCATTAGCCTGTTAACCACAAGGTCAGTGGTTCAATCCCACCAGCCTCTCTTTGGGAGAAAGATGAGACTGTGTCCTCCTGTGAAAACTTGAGTCTTGAGAACTCTAAGCAGCAGCGCTCCTCTGTCCTGTGTGGTCTCTATAAGTCAAAATTGACTAGATGGCAGTGGGCTTGGGTTTTGGTTTTATAAAAGGAATCTTGGTAGTAGAGTAGGTAGAGCACTCTTCTGCCAACTGAAAGACCAGCGGTTCGAACCCATCAGCCACTGTGAGGGAGAAAGATGTGGCATTTTGCCCCTTAGAGATTCCTACCCTTGGAAGTGCTGTGAGGCAGTGCTACTCAATCCTATAGAGTAGCTAGGAGCCAGGAATTACTTGATGTCAGTGTTGTATGTGTATGTGTGTGTATGTGGGTGTGTGTTCAGTTTTTTGCTTTTGTATTTATGAATCCAAACTTAAAAACACTGAGTGAACATTTGAGAATAATACTATTAGCTAATTATACTCTGCAACAAGGTGGTATATATTACTAATGATAAGAGGTCCCCCCAAAACACCCCAACTACTCCCAGACAGTTGTAAGAATGGTTACTTGAATACATCGTACTTGTATTTCTATATGTACAAGAGAATATGGAAATATTCATCTATATTTGCATAATACATATGAACAGAAGTCGAATCCCTCTTCCATGGAGGAGGCTGAGGCTTGTTTCCCAGCCAGTGCACCTGAGGCTCCGCCACCACACAATTCCAGGGAGGCCTGCGTGTTTCTGCGGTGTTGACTACATTCCCGTGGAGCTGCCAGACCGAGGCTGCTGCTTCTGTGAGGACCTGCGTCTCAGACATTTTCTATGGGCTTGCTATGCGTGGAGATGGACTCAGTGGTAGTGGGTGTGGTGTTTGAATCTGTTTCAGAGGCAGCAGGGAGGAGAAGAGGAGGAGGTATTGCTTAGGAAGGGTGATAGGAGAGCTTTGGAAATAAATAGCGGGGATGGGCACCCACCATGGTCAATGTCACTAACTGGCATATAAAAATGCTGACATGGGACACACCTTGTCAAATTGCTGGTGTATGACAATGAAATGAAGTGTTTCCTTCTCTCCCACTCTGTGGAAACGAGCTCCTAAAACATTGGCCTTTCTTACTTGGGAGAAAGATAAGCTGTTGTTCGTTTAGATTACTGTCTGCCTTGAAGAAGCACGTTCAAGAGGCTGAACCTCTTTGAAGCATCCGTAGTGTCCATGATGTAGCTCTGCAA